CCCCCCCCCCCCCCCCCCCCGTTATGATCTAGAAACTATGGCTCAAGGGCGAGGCAGTAAAGAGAAAGACCACGGCTGGGCATCTGGTGCACAGATTCCCAGCTCAGCCTTCGGGGCTCTAATATGCAGGCCGGACAGAGGAGGTCAGAGCAGCCACATGGTGACAGTCTCGTCTCCTCTCCCCTGGAACTCCTGTATGTTCTACAGCATTGGTCCACACACACCCTGCCCTGCTGGGTGGCTGGGGCTTGAGTCACAGAGAGGGCAGATACCACACACATGCCCTTCCTGCAAACTCAATAAATCAGCAACTCTGCCTGGGAAACGTCAAAGGCAGGCAAGAACAAACAGACGTGGCTAAGCAGCGAGTGCCTGGTCCTGATGGGCCTCCCTGGCCCATAGCTCTCCAGGGCGGGTGATGCCCAGGCTGGCTTTCCTCGGGCTACGGGTGACCTGGATGAGCTCATTCCAGAACAGGAGTTAGCCACGGTGAAAAATGCAAAAAGAAGTAGTAGATTTTAATAATAACTTATGCAGTCCCATATATCCAAAATATGTTCATTTTAATATGTAAATCAATAGAAATTATTAATGAGAGTTTTACATTATTTCTTAAAGTTGGCAAAATCCAGTACTTAAATTTTTTTTGGTGCCAGGGATCAAACTCCAGACCTCACGCTTGCCAGACAGGCGCTGTGCCACTGAGCTACATCCCCGGTGTCCAGTGCCTACTTGACGTGGCTCATCTCAGCCCGGACTGGCCACCTGAGGGCCCAGAGCACCTGTGCTGGGCAGCCGCCACATGGGACCATGGAGTTCTACAATCTGCTTCACGATGGAAAATGAGTGCAGTATTCTTGAAGCCTGGTTTTTATAAATATGTTAATTTAATAACAGTATGGTAAGTAGTGAGGAGAAAACCAAGGCTGAGAGGTGAAATCGCTGGGACAAGAGCAGACTGTCATCAGCTGGGAACTCCCTTTGCAGGGTCAGCACGACAGGGGACACGCAGGAAGGGACCAGCGCTGGCCCCGCACCCATGCCAAGACTTACAATTGCGCTCAACCTCACGATGTGACTGACACTACTGCCGCAGGGTCATGTTGGGAGACCCTGCTTCAGCGTGGAGGTTTCCCCAGGACTCCCGGCCCCATGCCAACAGCCTGGACACTCACCGGACTGGTGGGGGAGGAAACCACAAGCTTCAGCCCCACTCTGCCATTCTCCAGGGCCTTCTGCAGACCGCTCCCTTGGCTGACAGCTCCACTCGCCTCTCTGGCAGGCCCAGCAGGCTGACCGGAAGTGCTCCCTGCAGGGCAGGCTTGGGCAGTGACCGGCTGCTGCACACGTAGGGTGCTGGGTGCCTGGGGCAGCGGCTCCCGCTCGTGGTCACTGTCTGGGGTCTCAGAGGATGCACGGGCAGGAAGGGGCTCCCCAGGCACGTCTGAGAGCAGGTGTGTGCTGGTGGCCAGGCCGTGGAGGGACAGTGGGGCCTGGAACATAGGCATCTCTGACTCTTGGCTTGGTCCGCGGGTTGGCACAGAGTTTACCTGGGCTTTGCTGAATTCCGACAACACCCTAGAAGTTTTCAAACAGAGAAACCTGTGTGACAGGGTAATGGCCAGAATGCCTGAGCCTACTGGGGCAGTGGTGAGAATGGAAAAATGCTGTTTGCGATTAAACCCTAGCCATCCAACACGGCTGTCATTGCCCTCTGCCCTCCCCGGCTACCACACAGCTCTTCGTGGCCCTCTTTGGGCAGGCAGGACTTGGGCACTGTGTTGGAAGGGACACCTGAGCTGTGCAGCAAGGCTCAGGGGAGAATGCTCGCTCTGCAGACCCAAGTGGGGACTGACTGGCGTCCCACAGGCTCACTGTGGGCAAAAAAGGGCAGTTGTTTCCTGAATGTCGTTGCTGCAGAGGCCCTGGGAACAGAGCCAGACTGGGTCCCTGGCAGCAGAGCATCCATCCGGACACCACCGCTCCTGGGACAAGGGCTGGGATGTGGGACACACTGCCTGTGGACAGTCTGGGGCTGCAGGGCACGGTGGAGGTGCCAGGCTAGGCCCCTCGGAGCTGGACTGGGCAGACTGTGGGTGTGTGTTCCACCCCCTCCCTGGGGGCGGCGCCACTCCTCATCCCCTCAGAGGCCCCGCTGGGCCACGGAGCCAATGCCAGGCCCTCCGGACAGAGCACACACTGCACAGTGACACTTCTGGGCCTTTGGAATGTGCACTGGCCAGTGACGTTCCTCCCTCCTGGGCTTCTGGGAAGCCAAGTTCCCTTTCTAAGATAAACCCACTTGCTGTTTCCTCTCTGCCTAGCAAACTAGTGGAGTAAGGTACAGACAGATGCAGGTTCAGACGGCGAAAGGCTGCCTGCGGCCCAAAGGTGGCGTGCAGCAGCCACCACAGCTTCCCCGGGGCATGGAAGGCACGCGGAGCTCCCTTGACTTCGCTGAGGGAAAGGAGGATTCCAGAACACACGTTGCTCACCTGCTTCCTTCCTACTGAGGGCCGCTTTTACCGACACCATCCTGACCCCTAGCAACATTTACAGCCAAGAACAGGGAACCAACCCAGACAGTTATGAGCAAGTAGCTGCCAACAAGGGCACCAAGACATTCGGTGGGGGAAGAACAGACAGTCTTCAAAACGTGGAAGAGGGAAAGGTGGGCAGCTCGTACCATGCATAAAAATTAACTGAACATCCATTGAAACCCTAACTGTAACAGTTAAAACTCTGAAACACTCAGAAGAAAATATAAGTATAAATTTCATGAGGCCGCAGTTTCTCAGATATGACACCTGAACCATAAGCAACCAGAAAAAAACGGATAAACCAGACTTTAACAAAATAAAAAAATTTGTGCTTCAAAGGATACTACCAAGAAAGTGAGGGACTGCTGGTGAGGTTTATTAGTAGAGAGTTTGCCCAGCATGTGCCAGGCCATGGGTTTGATCCCCAGCACCAGGAAAAGTGAAATGACAACCCACAGAATGGGGAAAATATTCGGGAATCACATATAGTAGTCTGATATCCACAATGGATGAAGAAGTCTTACAACTCAACGATAAGAAAACCCTGAATTCTAAAATGGGCAAAGGATTTGAAGACTTCTCTTTAGAATATATACAAAGGGATAATGAGCACATGAAGTAAAAAGGAAAAAAATACATGAAGAGACTCTCAAGCTCAGCGGCCATGGGGGAAAAAAACCAATCCATACCTACTCAGACAGCTGCTACCGTCAAACCCACAGAGAATCACAGTGCTGGCAGAGATGTGGAGAAATTTACTCACAGATAAGTGAGGAGGGTGTAAAATGGTGCAGCTGCTGTAGGAAAGTTTGGTAGTTCCTCAAAAGGTTAAACAGAGTTACAGGCAACCGGCAATTCTACTCCATGTATATACCTAAGAGAATTAAAAATGCGTGCACCTGAAAACTTAGACATAAATGTTCACAGAAAAATTACTCATAAAAGCCAAAATACAGGGAAAAATGAACTGTCAACTGATGAGTGGATAAACTGGGCAGATCCATACAATGGAATATTATTTAGCTGTGACATGTTGTAACATGGGTGAGTCCTAAAAACACTATTATTTGGTGACAGACACCAGGCACAAAAGGCCATATATTGCATGATTCCATTTATATGGAATGCTTGGAAATCTACAGCCGATGGAAAGGGGTTTCCTTACAGGGTGACGAAAATATTCTTGAATTGAAAAAAATAAAAAAGAAAGTATTTTTGAATTAGATGGTAGTGATGTTGTATAATCTTGTGACTATACTAAGTACCACTTCATTAACACTTGAAAATGATGAATTTTTTTCTGGGTGTGGGGATGCATGCTTGTGATCCCAGCACTTGAGAGGCTGAGGCAGGAGGATCACTGTGAGTCTGAGGCCAACCTAGACTACAGAGCGAGACCCTGTCTTAGAAAAAAAAAGGTGAATTTGTTTTGCTTTTGTTTTTTGAGATTGGCTCTCACTATTTTTTTTTTTTAGCTTTGTTTTTCTGAGACACGGGGCTCACTGTGTAGTTTGGGCTGGCCTTGAACTTACTACGTAGCTCACAGTGATCCTCCTGGCTCGGCCTCCTGAGGGCTAGGATCACAGGAATATGCCACCATGCCCTGCAGGATCTCACCTCACTGTGTAGCCCAGGCTGGCCTCAAATTTGCAGCAATACTCCTGCCTCAGCCTCCCCAGTGCTGGGATTACAGGTATGTACCACCACACCTGGAGCAAAATGTTGAATTTAATGGTATATTACTTCTGTTTTGATAAAAATATAGGTGACCAATCAGAGAAAGGCGGAAAGGAATAGTTTCGGGGGAGGCAGGCAGGGGCTGGTTCTTGCTCTAAGGTCTCACTCTACAAACAGATGAACAAAAATCTAAGAATGCAACTTGCAGGGATGGGAAATGCTGAGTTCTGGAAACAAAGGGCTTGCTTCCAACGGTGGAGAAGAGGACACATTCCAACCAACCGTACATGTCCACACCTCGGTGACAGGAGGGGCCACCTGAGGGGAGCCAGGCGGGCAGACTTCCCGCAGGTGTCCCCTGTGAGGCTCAGCTCCGCATGGGCCAGGGAGACTTGTGGCGAGGGCCCCGTCCACCCCGGCCTCTTGCAGCTCTTGGGCGTCACTGCCTTTCGTGGCTGTGCCGAGGGCCACGCAGATAACACAGGCAGAAGGCTCAGGAGCGTTTGGGACAAAGCCCTCAGAAAACGCTCACCTTGATGGTACGCTGGCTGCTTTTACCACTGATTAGATGGCTTAGACGCCACATACAAATATAAAAATACAGAGGAAAAAGCTGAAGTGTGAGAATACTCGCTACCATTACAAAAACAAGACATGTACATAGATTGACTACAAATGAATCTTAATCTGCAAGACATAATTTTTTTGGTGGTACTGGGTATCGAACCCAAGGGTGTTCTATTACTGGGCTATATGCCCAACCCTTATTTTTAATTTTGAGACAGGGTCTTGCCCAGGCTGGCCTTGAACTTACAAACCTCTTGCCTCAGCCTCCCAAGTAGCTAGGATTAGAGACACGTGCCACTACATTGGTTATGAAGGAGATTTTAATGATGAAATGACAGTGTTAGAATAGGTAATAATGCCTAAATGCCACCAGACAGCAGCAAGCCTGGGTAATAAATCAACTTCCACTAAATCACAACCAAGGTCAAGGTGAAATGAAGTTCACAGAGTTAGTACTAGTCCAGAATTAGAACTAGTCTTCAGGGCCCCGGGAAAATAAGACAGACATACTCATCAAGGGGGAAAAATGCGAGCTAGAGCAGAGATTTTCAACGTAAAGAGAAAAAGGTTTGAAGAAAACACAACAGAAAGGAAACTGAAATGGCTACAGCCCTTCCGCTTCCATTTGGCTTGAGGCTGCATTTCCCAAAGACTTTTTATTCAAGTATTTAAAATGTGCTTCCATTTAGGAAGCAGTCTGACAACAGCACGTCATGTACATACGTGTAACTGTGTGCTCACACACGTGTGTCTGCAGTAACTGAGCCTGGCTTGGAGAACCCGCCTGAGGGCTGTGGGCTCTCTGACCCACAGACCCAGGGCTGGCAAGGCCCGGCGCTGTTCTGCAGGCAGCGGAGGCTGCACACGTGTCACCCCCAAGGGAGGCTCCATGAACATGAGCCCCCAGAGGGCCTGCAGCTCTGCACACAGCGGCAGCCTACTGTCCCAGAACCTAGTAACAAAACGACCTTCACTGCGTCCTAGGCGACCCTTCTCACTTTTACACAGTGTGACCCTGAACTGTTTTTCTCTGAAGAATTCTTAACCTCATATTACAGGATGTCCAGGTCAGGTGGCTGAAAGATGAACAAGTCTGGCTCCTGACTCCGCTGGACTGGACCTAGGCCCCTTGGTCACAACTGTAACACAGACTTGAAGGACAGTTGTTGTCCGGCCATAAAGCAAGACACAGTTTGCTTCCTGCAAAAAAGAACCCTGTGTGTGTGTTTTAATTTTAATTTTGGGGGTGTTTTTGGAGACAGGGTCTATGAGGTCCAGGCTGGCTGTGAACTATGTAGCTCAGACTTACCTTGAACTCTTGAATCTCCTGCCTCAGCCTCCTAAGCGATGGGTTTACATGTGTGTGCTACCATGTCTGGCTAAAATATTTCATTTTGAATATTGTGTTTTGTATTTTATGTTTAATTTGCAGGGGTTGAACCCAGGACCTTCACACTGAGCTACAACCCTAGCCCTCTTTAAAATTTTTTGAGACAGGGTTTCACTAAGTTGCCAGGCTGGATTTGAACTTGGTGATCTCCTGCCTCAGTCTCTCAGAGTGCTGGGATTACAGGCCTGTAATCCCACCATGCCTGGCCTGGAGACATTGGTTTTACATTTGTAACAACAAACATAGAGTATGCCCAGGCTTTTTTTTTTTTTTTGG